GGCCACAGCACAGCATCTGGCTGCCACCTGACTTGTGGCTTCAGAGCAGAGCCCCAGCTCCTGGCAGGAGATTCTGAGAGTGGGGCAGTCTGGCCAGTGGCAGGCTGGATGCCAGGGCCCAGGGAGCAGCACTGCAGTATGCTGAGAAGAATATAAAATCCGTAATGAGACCTGGTGATGACCATTTTCTAGATGGGAAAATCTACACTTTGCTTGGTTTCTGTTTCATCTGTAAAATGGAATGATACTCTTTCTTTCTTGCTTGCTTGCTTGCTTTTTTGAGATGGAGTTTCGCTCTTGTTGCCCAGGCTGGAGTGCAATGGCGCAATCTCAGCTCACCACAACCTCTGCCTTCTGGTTTCAAGCGATTCTCCTGCCTCAGTCTCCCTAGTAGCTGGGATTGTAGGTGTGCGTCACCACACCTGGCTAATTTTGTATTTTTTTGTAGAGACGGGGTTTCTCCATGTTGGTAAGGCTGGTCTCAAATTCCTGATCTCGGGTGATCTTCCCTTCTCAGCCTCCCAAAGTGCTGGGATTATAGGCATGAGGGACCATAGAAAATATTTGCTGACTTTTTAAAAATGGAGATTGCCCTTATATTTGACATCCGCTAAGACTGCCTAGGCCATCTAAGAATCATCTACTTGGGAGAAAGGTCAAACTGTGTGGCTGAATGGAAAGGCTACTAGGCTTGAAGTCAAAAGATCCAGGTCGAGTTCTGGCTTTGTCCTCCATGCCTGCATGACACAGAGCAAGCCCCTTCATTTCTACAAGCCTCAGTTTCTTCATCTGTAAAATGGGGCTAATACTTCAACTGGCCTGTAAGGATGTGGTCCAGTTTAGAAAGTTCTGGTGGTACTGGAAGCCCTAGAGCAAGGGCATCCATCCGAGGCAGCCCAAAAGGACCAGTTGGAGCGGGGAGCCGGATGTTGGGCTCAGGGCAGCTGAAGGCAAGGCCGGGAAAAGTGCTGTCGAGTGCCCAGTGTGACAGGCAAGGCGAGGAGAGACACAGGATTGTGAGCACGGGAGGGCGAAATGGGTGGAAGAAGGCCAGGGACACGCTTCGGAACCAAGCCTGTGTGGACAAGCTGAAATGTTCCCTCGTAGGACATTCTCAATGCAGTCTAACAGGTAACATTTATTGAGCACTTACCGTCTGCCCAGGGCTATTCTAAGTGGTTTCATGGGTAGTTCCCTTAATCCTCACAGAAACCTTGGGTGGGTGCTATTTTTTTAAATTCCCATTTCGCGTATTAGGAAACCAACACACAAAAATCACACAGGAGTTTAACTTGTGGCTCGAATTCTTAACGAGCCGAATCACTGTTGGAACACAAAACAGGAGTGGTTATAGTGACCTAAAAAAAGAATATGTTTAAATGCATTTTATACATAGTAAAGTGCCAGCTAATACATGAAATGTTGTTCAATTCAAAGCATTCAGGGAATTTCTTTTGACCTCTAGTAACTCTCCAGAAGCAGCATATTGGATAATCATGGTTAAGAAAAGCCACATCTCTTACTGAGCCTGGCCCTGGAGATGGCACTCTCCCCCGGGAGGTCTTTGGGGCCACATAGGGCAGTGGTTGCACAAATTTGGTGGCCAGTTTGATCTCCACGGCTCCCTGGACTCCCTGCTGCCCATGTTCGCTCGAGAAATCAATGTCTGCTGAGGGCTTCCTCAGTCAAATTCAGCTCAGGCTTAGGGAACGCTGGGGCTGTAGGGCAGATGGCAGAGCCCACATGTCTGGGATCTGAATGCTCCTGCCCCTCTTGATCACAGCATTTCAGAGCTGGAAGTCTCCTGGAATTCTCCCCAGCCCATAAGAGTTGCCAGGCATGGAAAGAGCTAACGTTGCACTGAGGGACTCCCTCTGACAGATAGCAGGAATGTGCTGTGCTGTGAGCTTCCGGACACAGGCATGGTGACCTGCTGCAGGGCTCTGCAGCCCAGGAGTGGGAGGCCTTAGGCTGACCTCGCCAAGACCCACAGTGAAGACGGAGGAACGATGTGTGGGTGGGAGATTCTGGGGAGCCAGGCAGAGCAGAAGGGAAATGCATGACTAAGTTCAGGGAGGGAGGCAGCAAGGAAGGTGGGGGTGGAGGAGGCCACAGAGCAATGCCAGAAGAGGAGAGATCCCAAGTGGAGAGGGTAAAAGGGGATGGGGCGAAGGGCCGCAATGAAGGCAAAGGGCCAGCAGTGACCAGAGAGCGCTACAGAGATGAGGGCGTGGAAGTGGACAGAGTCTCAGCTGAGATAGTGTAACAGTGCTTTTTGATGTAAAGATGCTCAGAAACAACTGGGGAAGATCTTTGAAGGTTCTCCACAAAGGAATTTGAGGTGTTGGAACGAGTGGAGGGAGGGATAAGACCATGAGACCCAGAGTGTCATGGGGAATGAATGACACCATCAGGAAGAACGAGGACAGCATATGCGAGTGACTTGGACTCCCCAAGGGGAGTCGCCACCTGTGATGAGGTGGGGGGCTGGAAGGCAGCCTCAGTGGTGGGAATGGATGGACCTAACTCCAGGCCACAGGCAGAAGTCCAGTTGGATGGATGGAAAGCGAGCCAGGCAAAATAGCAAAAGGCAACAGGTCTAGTTCCCGAAAAGGATTTCCAGGTAAATGAGGACAAGAACAGCCAAGGGGACTCTAGGGAGAGCAGCAGATAAAGGATAAAGGGGTCATCTGGGAAGGCAGGCGCAAGCTTGGGGAGCCGAATGGGGAGAAGAGAGCAAGGCCCTGGGCAGGCTGGCAAGAAGGGAACCCAGCACTGGAGCTGAACCAGGAGAGGAGCCTGGATTCCAGAAGCCAGCTGTGTACTCCAGGTCAGGGAATGATATTGCTGGGTCTGTTGACTGAGTTCACTCAGGCCTAAGCACCAGCCCAGGGTTCCCTATCTTACTGAGGACTGACAGGAAGTACACAGGGTATCAGGTGGAAGATCCTCGAATCCAGGCCCACATTATTGGGCTCAGTCAACAAGCCAGCCTTGAAACACATCTGAGATCTCACCTCCTGAACTAATGGGGCTGAATGGGGAAAGGCCACTGCCTTTCTGCTGCTCTTAAAGAGCCCAGAGACCCAGGAGCCCTTTCACAGGCTGGCGCCTCCCAAAAGGCTCTTCTGTGGTGGTAACAAGCCAGTGGTGATACAGACACCCCTGATTTACAGGTTTTGCAGGGAATTCTCACTACCGTCTCACGTTGCCAAAACAAAGACAGCACCTCTCAGAAACACAAAAGCGTGATGGAAACCTACACTGTGCCACAGAGAGCACAGGAGACTTTCTGACCCGGACCCTTCCCCTTGCTGTTGGTCCTGGGATTCCCTCAGACCCTTCCTCCTGCCTTTCAGAACCACAGGCCACAGTGCCGTTCATGCCTCCACCTCCCCCACTCCCCCAACACACACACACACACACACACACACACACACACAGAGCCCACCTTCAGGAAAGCAGGAATTGTGAGCCCAGGGAGGATATGGAGCGAGAAAAGCCCTCCTCTCCTCGCTGTCTCTCCTCCAAACCCCAGCACCAACAGGCAGAAGGAGAAGGGGCCACGGTGCTGAAATAGTAACACAGCATGAGAGCAAAGGGGCTTCCGATCACATCCTTCTGTCGTCTTCTCCAGTCCCTGGGCCGCCCCAGCCGAATCCCCAGGAGCACCCTGGCCAAGGCTCACTCAAGGTCAGGAGCAGCACGAGGCTGAGGTACATCCCCTGCTCTAGGAGGAGGAAGCAAGTTCTTGCCATCTGAGCTGGAATTGCAATGGCAACAATACCTCCAAGATGAGATTATAGTTCTCAGATGGCCTTCTATCTCGGGGTCACAAAAGGCCAACATAGGTTTCTGTGGATTGAGATGTGACATACCCCCTGTAGGAAGTCAATCAGTCTGCTTTTTACCTTTCATTAATTCAGAAGAATTTACTGAGTGCCAACGACCAGCTAGGCAGAGTCCCTGCCCTCAAGGAGCTATACAGACTAGAGATAAACACAGAAATAGACAGAAATCCCGTGTGACCAAGCTGTGCCGGTGGAGAGCTCGGAGTGCATTTTAATGTTTGTACGTTGGGGACGGCTTATGCAGCACAAAAACACTAAACTCATGCACGTTTCTGCTTCTGAAAATAGTACACGAATAGGTCGTGAGAAAGCTGGAGGGAATTACACAATGACTTATGGTCGGTCAGCCCTTGTTCATGAAGAACAAAAATTCTAGATGTCTGGGCTGGCTGCAAGGCGATAAACAGGAACTTTTATAGTCTAAGGATTTAGCTTCCATTTTCAAATGAAAATGTTTATTTCTTGCAGTATATTTTTGTGTCTTTGGAGAATGCCTTTGGCTGCGGATGTTTGCCATGAGCCAGGGATATAAAGTCGACACCTGAACACTGGGGCTGGTTTAAGCCCCACCCACGTGAGTCAGAGAAGAGCAGATCCACCTGGTGGGAGGAACAGGCGAGGGAGTGGGAAAAGCCTGGGCTGGGCCTTTCAGGTGACAGACAGGCTGCAGCAGGAAGTGTGAGGAAAGGGACTGCTCCACAGGGTGGTGTCCAGCACACGCTGAGTGGGGATAAGGAAAGGCAGGAAGATGTGCTCAGGTGAACTCCCAAACTTGCTGCAATGATCTTCGTGGGAATAAGTGAAGCCACAATCATAGCATCACAGAATACAAGTTTGACCAAATTATCTCCTCCTGTGCCTCACTTTACTCATCTATAAAACGGGAACAATGATGCTATCCATCCCACAGAAATGAGTGAGGATTAAATAAGTGACTACATGGCAAGCACTGAGAGCAATGCTCTAGTGTGTGCTCAGTAGATGTTGGCTTTTATTGTCATTTATTTTCTTCTCAGGGGGAAGGGGTGGCAAATAATCCACTATACTCATATCACATATAAAAGTATTCTCAGTGGTTTCTGTAAATCACATTTCACTTTGCCTGTGGGAAAAAAAGGAGATGTAAATTATTTCAAATAGAGAGGCACATACTTTAAAATATTGGGTTTATTTTTTAAAATCAGCACAGTACAAACTGCCACACAAATTACTTTACACTAGCAACGACAGGTGCTCCTATTAATTCAAGTATACACATTTCACTCCCCAGATTAAAGACCTTGTAATTTACCTTGAAGCTCTTTACATTCTGAAGTTATAAAAATTAAGCAGGAAAACATTAACATTAAATGAAAATCAATTTTGCACAAATAAGTGTGATCAAGCAGCTTAAATCACCTGAATTTCTTGTACGTCAGAGGAAAAATCCCAGGTGACAACACTCTACCGGTTCTAAAAAGTGTTCCATCATTCCCTGGGGAAGTCTCAAGCATTCTTCCCGCACATTTCCTTCACCAAGCCTCAGGCTAAGAATTGAGGGAAAGTCTTTCCGGGCAGTGGCCTGAGTTTCACACACATTCCTTTTTCTGAATTCAGTTTCTGAAAACACAGGCTTTTCTCTTGGCAAACATGATCTGTAAGATGTTGGAGGACTAAGCTATATCGGTTCTTAAGTTTCTTCCTTTCTCTGGGGAGACACGGAGGTCTTCATGCCATCCATCTGTTCTCCACTCCCACTCGGGGTTCCTTTGTGATATGAAATGGAGACACTTCTGACCTCGTTGGAGACAGGGTGAGCACTGTACCTTCACCCAGGCACAGCAGAAGGCCTGGTCCTCTCCTGATGTCCTCAAACTTCCTCTGATTTCAGAGAAATTTTTTATACCAGATGGTGTCAACACACAGCAATAAAATATGCTGAGGAACTAAAAATGTGAAAAATCACCTAGGAGTGGAACATTAAGGAAATGTATGTCTATTACTGTGTACTGACGACGAGGAGACTCCTGTTTGTAATAAGCTGCAGCAGAGCAGAGGTTTGGCTGCAGAGCCAAACTGTGCCCTCCCTGAGTCTGCAGTCCAGTAGGGGCAGAGGGCCCGACAGAAAATCGTCAAAGATGCAAAACAGGAGCCCAGTGATGGGACCAGCTAGGAGCTGCACTCGTGTTGGCATCGATGCCACCGAGAGTTCAACAGCACACTGAATCCCTATGTGAAATATGGGTATCAATTATCTTTCAAAACTTTTTCATCACCAAACTGAGCCAGAGGAATGAAGATCATATTTCAGTAGGAAAAGTCTACACTCTGAAAATATCATCATCATCAAGTGGTGTTTCTGGGCACTGGTAAGTGTAATATATTGCATCGTACATTTCTAGAACCATTGCCATGACAAAAATGCAAAGTGAGGATGGCCCCCCCAGCACTGCCTTCCTCTCAGTGGGCAGCACCTTCTGGGTAGACAGCTGAGGATAAACATCTCCTGTGGGCCAAAACAAAGGGTGGTGCCATCCCTTCTCCAGTGTGACACAGAGGGCCTTGCCTCGAAGAGCCTTTATGTAGCAGCCTCTAAGAATTCCGAGGTGAACACAGCTTCTGCATAATCTTCACACATATCCTGAAGTTCAGCAGCCACGGCACCCAGAGCTTCATCTACCAGCTCTTCTGAAAAGCTGGAAGACAAACAACATGACTAAAGGTATGTACAAGGCTGGGCACAGTGGCTCACGCCTGTAATCCCAGCACTTTGGGAGGCCAAGGCAGGTGGATCACCTGAGGTCAGGAGTTTGACACCAGCCTGGCCAACATGGTCAAACCCTGTCTCTACTAAAAATACATAAAATTAGCTCGGCATGGTGGCATGCATGCCTGTAATCCCAGTTACTTGGGAGGCTAAGGCAGGAGAATTGCTTGAAACCAGGAGGCGGAGGTTGCAGTGAGCCAAGATCGCGCCATTGCACTCCAGCCTGGGCGACAGAGTGAGATTCCGTCTCAAAATAAACAAAATAAAATAAAGGTATGTACAGCCATATATGGGAGCCATTCTTTTACTCAGCTGTGGAAATTAACACGTCAATTCTGAAAGCTAAATGGAAACTGAGAAGGCCAAAAATAGCCAAGATACTTTTAAAGAAGGAAAACAAGGTGCAAGGCCCTGCTCTCCTAAACAGAAGGATGGTGGTGCTTAGATCCCAAAGCCCTGCTAGAGGGACGGGCCTTATTTAATACACAGGATGGACTTCATCCTCAATATGTCTGAAACCAGAGGTGACCAGAAACCAACCAGCTGCCACCTAGCCCCACCTCTAACAGCTGCTTGACTGGCTAACAGAGGAAAGGGGTGTGCCTTCTCTGCAGAAGCCCAGGTGCTCTACACACACACACACACACACACACACACACACACA